CTGGATTCTATACACACCAGAAGCAAACTCCTCTCCTTTGGACTTTCCAGATATACATCCTTGAGTATGTGTATAATTTAGTTTGACTCGATTTTTGTCACAAAGGAGTTCCAATATCTTAAGTGGCCAGGAAAGCAGACAATCAGCAGACATGAGTTATCCAACCAGAGCCATGAGGAGGGAAGGGCCCAGGGTAACCTGTCGTCAAAGTTCCAGAGACTGTGTTGTCTTCTAGCAGCATATATGTATTATCCGTGGTTCTTTTCTCTTGGTCCCAGGGAGAAGCGCACACTAGCATGTTCAATAAGGGGAGTAAGATGATCCCACACCATGATAATTTCCTCAGGAAGGAAGAAGGACCCAATTCCCCATATCCCATTTCCAATACCACATTCCCATGATTCTGAAAACTGTATCTTATTTTTAACCTTCAGAGAGTTAGGAATTTAAATACTTGATACCTTATGAAATACCCAACCATGTCATTTCCCTTTAGCCTATATAATCATATGTTTTATTTCTAGTTTCTTATTCTCTACTACTAACATCTGCACATAAACACAACCTTAGCCCTCTAAATCTCATCTGTTCCCACTGCCTGTTCTTCACCTGAAGTCATAATCCCCCGTTTGTCACATCATAATCACTCCCCCAACAGAGCACTATTGCTTCAGGTGGGGAATAAAGCAGCAGGAACAGATGAACTCTTAGGAACGAAGATCCTAATTTTTTACAGCAAGGGACATCCTTCACTAAGCCTCCCTGGCTTTACAGATTATACCCTCCTGGAGTCCCGCAGTTATACACGAATGCTAGAAAAGCACCCATGTAAAATAAGCTGGTTTGTCATAAGGCAAGACCAAACATGGGAGGGTGAGGCAGGGAAAAAGCAACTGCCTCTCAGGTGTCACTCAAAATAATTGTTCGCTTCTACTAACAGGGCAACATTCACTGGAAAGAATACAGTATCTCCAGAGCCAACCTTATTAAGCCAAATGTAACAAGAATTTGCACCAGACAGTGGCTGTGGAAGGCACTAATATAAGTCCCTCTGACCTGGAGACATGCCCCCCCCATGGAGGATGAACAGTTTGTCTCCAGCCTCTGGGATAAGCTCTTTCATAGCCTCTGACAGTGCAAACAGTCTCATCGTCTTTTTTTTTTTTTTTTTTTTTAAGATTTTATTTATTTATTCATGAGAGACAGAGAGAGAGAGGCAGAGGGAGAAGCAGGCTCCCAAGGAGCAGGGAGCCCGATGCGGGACTCGATCCCAGGACCCTGGGACCACGACCTGAGCCGAAGGCAGACGCCCAACCATCTGAGCCACCCAGGCGCCCACAAACAGTCTCATCGTCTTCTTACTATCACTATTTTCCTTTCCTCCCTTGCCTTTTGTCCAAAGTTCCTCCTTACTCCTGAGAAGGAGAGGGTGGGGGTAGGGAGAGGCAGCAAAACATGGTCTCATTAGTCACTGGAGAGATAAAAATCAAAACATCTCCACCAGTAGTTAAAATACCTTTTCTATTTTGTTGATATTAGAAATGAAACGAACCCTTAGCAGTGGGAATAAGGATGATCACAATGCTTGTTGGTCAATTTAAAGCTTAAGAAGGGCTCTTTGTGCATCTGTGCCTAGGAGTGGGCAGCAGGCTCTTCACATCTTCTCAGACGTTAAATGCGGATCAATAATTCTATATTACTCTCCTTGGAAAGAACTGACATGAACTTACCTGAAACTTATCTGAAATTTTCCTTCCAGGAAAAATTAAACTTTTATTTTTTTATCCCTAATGGTGCCCGCCCAAAGTAAGTACTTCTTAAAAGATATCTGTCTGCTGAACCAACAAAAGAAAAGACTGGTTAGCACAGTGGTAAGATAACCAAGCTAAGGAGCTCAGCTAGCCGGCCTAGAAGCACATGGTGACAGGAAGGTGATGGTGAGAGAGCAGATGAATAAGTAAAATTCTATCACCACTTCAGGAAAAGTAGCTTATGGACCAGTAGCATTTTCTTATGTGTAAAGGGTGGCTCTTGATTTTTAGTATAATCTATACCTTTCTTTCAAAAGTTTAATAGAAGTAGCACAACAACAGCCTTGAATGTATTTATTTTCATTATCAAGACCATCAAGTGAGTACCTACGGAGATGCACTAGTGATGGAACTGTATTCTTACTGGGTTTGACATGGAAATAGTGTGCATCACTGTAAGCATCCAGAGGGAACAAAATGCTTACCATCATGTTCACACTAACTAGTAGTAGAAAACGTGCTCAACAAGAGTTAGTTGAAAAGAATGCATGAATAAAAATAAAAGAATTACAAGAACTCTGAGAAATTGCTAGAAATTGTGTACATTTGTTTATAGCTTATCTCCCTACTAGACCATAATTCCACAAAAGGAGGAACTTCATCTGATTTAATATTTATTTATTTATTTTTATTTTTTTTAAAGATTTTTTTTATTTATTTATTTGACAGAGAGAGACATAGCGAGAGAGGGAACACAAGCAGGAGGAGCGAGAGAGAGAGAGAAGCAGGCTTCCCGCAGAGCAGGAAGCCCGATGCGGGGCTCGATCCCAGGACCCTGGGATCATGACCTGAGCTGAAGGCAGATGCTTAACGACTGAGCCACCCAGGCGCCCCCTGACTTAATATTTAGTTCCTAATAAATAGTACCTAACTCAGTAACTTATTTTTGGAATAAATCAATAAATGTATGAATAAAATATATGTTTTTAGTAGGAAAAACTAAACATTTATTCAACTTTGAATTCTCTGAATACAATGTACCTATAAATTTATAAATAGGATAAATCCATGAGCATATGCAAATCTTCAATGAAAAGCACTCTTCTTTTTTTTCTTTCCAATAGTGCGTGGTTAAATCTTGTGCCATAACAACTGCTCAGTATATGGTTATGAATCAAGGAAATTAAAAAAATTATTAGGGTTAAAATAAAGGTTATTTTTATTTTTCTCTTCTATTAGTAAAATGGTCATATAAGGTATGTATTTTATAAAATTACATATAGAGCACAATGAGTGGAAAATTTAGAATGGGACAGACTTTCAGGGAAGTCATAATTCTTAAGAAGGGTTAATATGTAAAAATAAGAATCCTTGCCTTTTGAAAGTAGTGGCCAGATTAGAAACCAAAAGAATGAGAGAGAGAGAAAGAGAGGGAGAGATCGGTTTTGCTTTTGCTTATAAAAGAATCAAAGTAAAACACATGTTTGTAATGGCTCTGCAACAAAATTCAAGATGTACACATGTAAACAAGAAAACATCAGATTAGTGGTCTATTTATATACCAGTGTTTTTCAGTAGTTGACTTGAAATGATAATCAATCTAAATTTACCTGGCACAGTACTTTAGACCTAATTAATCACTGTGAAGGGGTATATATACAAGGTAAAAGAAAACCCCAGAACAATATTTCACACAAAGCTTTGAATTCTCACGCTTTAACTTGTAAATAAACTTGTAATAATTCAGTACTACATTAAAATGCTTAAAATGCATAGAATAAATTAACTTATTTGTATGCTGATAAGGAAATGCTTAAAAACAGCACTGAGGTTACATGGAATCAGCTAAATATCCTATAACTCATTTATTTTAGAGATCAGTTAAGTATCACCTTTGGGTGTACTTTAATAAAATAGTTATCTCTAGACCTGATAGCACAGAGAACTAGATGGGACCCATGAATAGTAAGTCCCCTTTCTGAACTTGTATGCAAGTGCTAATGACTCTTGGCCATGTTTCTGCATTGTCTTTGCTGGCCATGGTCAATTCAGTCTAACACTGTTCACAAAATCAAGGGAGTCAAGGACGTGGAACTCAGTTTAGACCACATATAAGCCTTTTGCTCCTCCTCCCTTACATGAAAAAACTTGTTACTTTCACATACTGAAATTTAATTCACTAATTTGAGGCCATTTTCCTAAATCAACTTTCTTTAGCCCCTGCTCCAGAACATTTATGAGATCTCCCATCTTAAAATTATCAACAACCTGATAATACACTCAACTCCATTCTCCAGTTCATTAATAAAAATATTGAATACTAAGACTTAAAACAGACTTTCTGCAGGCTTGTCTTCAACATCCCTCCCCAACTTGATGTAAGGCCATCCAATGGACTTTCCTTGGCCAAATCTTTGTCCATTTTGGAACAAAGGTTGTGTAATCCAATATTCTGTGATTTTTTTCAACCTAAAAAAACACACTATGCAGACTTAAATATCTACATATAACAGATGTGTACAATGCACATTTAGGTTGGTATAGAACCTTTAAAATTACATCTACAGTGGAGAAGAGGAATTAATTCATTGTAGAGTGCTTTATGGTTTCTGTGATCAGTTATCACATGTATGCCCTTCAAGGCTTAATTTTAATGCTTCAGATGTTGAAAGAAATAACAATCTATAACAAGATTCCACATTGGTACACACACAAAAACACATGTCCATGTATACATGTGAGATTTTTAAAAATCACACTAAATCTATAATGACAATTAATGTCTCTCATAAAAATAATAAAAGCTTAATATTTGACTTTCAAGTAAAAGTACACTCTGATTCCATACATTAGACAAACATATCCAACACATGAATTTTTCTAACTATTCTTTTTAACATATAAAGCATTTTATAGACAGTATTTCTTTTGTTTCTTTGTCTCATAAGGCCTAGATTACGGCTAATATCTCATGACACCAAAAGTAATACTGCAACAGATATTAAAGCATTTTTTCAGCCACTTATTCTATAAAATATTAATTGCAAGCCTGTGCATGTTTTGTATATATAGGGATTAGGTAACTGAGTTCCTGCTTAATTCTAAATCAATAAAAGATAACATGCACAGCATCAATCATTGTTCATTCTTCTTTTAGTATATAATAACTGCGAGTGGAAGATTTTTAAAAATATACATTTAAGCACTCATGCAGATATTACAAGCTAGAGAGGATTAAGTAATACTTACCTAGGAAGGACAGGTTTTTCTCCAGAAGCATGTCTCTTAGCAGGACTTCGTGCTCATGACCAATGGCACTAAGAAGTTTTAGTTAAGGAGGGTAACACAGGTGGAATTACACAATAAAAAATATGCTAATACCAGGTCTCTACTTTGAGATGAAACGGAAAATAGAGTAATCATAGCAACTATTTCCACCTTTAGCCCACATTTCTGAGGAATGAGATTTCTACATACATGCCCTCATTTAATGATTCAGGGGAGTTTTTCTATTTCTGTAATGTTTATATGCATTTGGGCAAATAAAGATTTGTAAATGGATGTGTACCTTATCTTCTTTTGAAAGGAGGCGGAGTCATTTTAAACATCCTTTGTACTATGTTAAAAATCCCTTAATTCAATTTAGTGCATTTATTAAGCACTTACTAAATGCAGCAAAGAATACCAACCAGGCTTTGCCTTAAAGGAGTTTCCAGTCTTACAGAGTTCCATAAATCTTCTAAGAATCCATACTTGTCCCAGAGTCAGCATTTCTAGTTTCTGTCCCACTTTCAGCCTATGGTTGGTGATCTTATGTGACGTGGGAAGCCAAATAGCTGACTTGTTGAGAATTCTAGGCACCCTGGAGGAAAGACTGCATGTTGCAAAGGACTGGGGGGTTGGGGTGCGGGTGCAGAGGATTCTTCAAGTCTTCCTCTCGTGTGCGAGAGTGCACACATATGATCATATTCATAGAAACAGATACACACACATGTAAATTCTTTGAGCGATTACTATGAGGTAGGTACTGTGTTAAGTGCTTTATGTATGTTTTTTTTTTAAAGATTTTTTATTTATTTATTTGAGAGAGAGAGAATGAGAGATAGAGAGCACGAGAGGGAAGAGGTTCAGAGGGAGAAGCAGACTCCCTGCTGAGCAGGGAGCCTGATGTGGGACTCGATCCTGGGACTCCAGGATCATGACCTGAGCTGAAGGCAGTCGCCCAACCAACTGAGCCACCCAGGCGCCCTATGTATGTTATTTCATCCTTAGTTATTATCATCCTTATTTTATAGATGAGGAAACCAAAGCTTAGAAAAGAATCCGCACACAGTTATACGGTTCAAGTGTGGCAAAGCAAAGGATTGGAATATGATGTTCACAAAGCCTTTTGTATGACCTCCATACAACTTCTTTAAACGTATTAAAATAATTATGTAAAAATAATTGATACTAGCTAATATTTCTTAAGCACTGTAACACAAAGCCTCGGTGTTAAACAGTTGGGGTATCACCTTTTTTTTTTTTGGTAAGTCCTCAATAAACTTTGATTATTTTATTGTTATAGTTTCACAGATTCATTACGTTCAGCTGCTCACACATGCATACGCCATTTGCTTCATTACCATTTTAGTTATTGACAACCCCATGCTGTTCAAACCAGAATGCAGGAGTCCTCAACTCCTACCTTTCTCCCACACTCCTCTCAATACATTGGCAACTCCTGTTGGTGTCAACTTATAACTAAATACAATATTCACCAAATTTTTATTACTTCCTCTGCTACCATCCCAGCCTATCATTTTTTAAAATTTTTTTAAAAAAAAATTTAATTCCAGTATAGTTAAAATACTTAGTGTTATATTAGTTTCAGGTGTACAATATAGTGATTCAACACTTCCATACATTACCCAGTGGTCATCACCAGTGCACTCTATGATCCCCATCACCTATTTCACCCATCCTCCTACCCACCTCCCTTCTGGTCTGTTCTCTATAGTTAAGTGTCTGTTTCTTGGTTTGTCTTTTTTTCCGTTGCTCTTTTGTTTCTTAAATTCCATATATGAATGAAATATGGTACTTGTCTTGGACTGGCTTATTTCACTTAGCATTATACTCTCTAGATCCATTCATATCATTGTAAATGGCAAGATTTCATTCTTTTTATGGCTGAACAATATTCCATTTTGTGTGTGTGTATGTGTGTACATACACCACGTCTTATTCCTCCAGCTATCAATGGACACTTGCGTTGCTTCCATATCTTGGCTGTTGTAAATAATGCTATATAAACACAGGGGTGCATGTATCCCTTTGAATTAGTGTTTTTGTATTTTGGGGATAAATGCCCAGTAGTGAGATCACTGGATCATAGGGTAGTCCTATTTTTAAACCTCCATACTGTCTTCCATCATGGCTGCACCAATTTGCATTCCCATCAACAGGGCAAGAGGGTTCCTTTTTTTCCACATCCTCGCCAACACTTGTTTCTTGTGTTGTTGATTTTAGCCATTCTGACAGATGTGAAATGATATCTCATTGTAGTTTTGATTTGCATTTCCACTTGGGTTATCATCTTATTTAACCTTCACCACCACCACATGAATAAGTACTATTATTAATCCCATTTTTATAATTACAGAAAGCAAGGTTCAAGAAGGCTGAGGAACTTTCTGAAGGTCCCATGGCTGGTAAATAATTAAATCAGGAATAGGACTTGGAATTCTGCTCTATTTTCCAAAAGGATGAGATTGCACAATATCTGAAAAGGAGCGTTATCCTATTCTGGTACTTTGATCCTGTCAAAAGCATTTGGTATTAATTATCTAATTCTCCATTGGATAATGTCAACCTGGTCGTACCACTCCTCAGCTTACCAAAGACTCTCTGATTCTGATTATGCACTGAAAGAGTTCAATTAAAATGAAATAAAATGTATGCATTATTTAAAAAAATTCCTAGAGCATTATCTGTCCTTTATCAACACATACAGGTGAATATCATTTAAATCATAATTCGAGAGATGTGGCCACTCATGTCCACCATCAAAATGAGCCCCAAGTCTTCATCATTGCAATTTTTCCTTCTGTTGTCGCTTCCCCCCACCATGCACGTGGTGTGCTTATTTAATTTCTAATTGGAAACAGAATAAAGGAACAAAAATTTTCAAATCACAAAATTTCACACATTTGCAGAGTCCACTGAAGATATCTGATGAATATCTCTCTACAGTCTCTCATTATTAGGGGCATCCCACATGTTAGAACTAAATTATTTACTTCTAATCCACATAAATGCGCTCTCACTTTTATTGTTGTAAATTATTTACATCTAAAATGTTGAATCATGAAACTGAGGTTACTGATGGTACAGAAATGAAACCCACAGCATTTTAAGCTTCCTGCATCATTATCTTTCCTTGCTTCTCTGTGTAGGTCTTTGTGTAATAGCTGTGTCCTGGAGTCACACTTTGGAAAGTTGAGGTGGCTGGTTTCTCACACCTTTTGTGTCAGTGACTATATTTGTGGCAGCGAAGGGGTGGATGGACATGGCTATGCAGGAAAAAATGTTGCAGACACCAAAAGAAAAAGAAAGCACAATGACAATTTATATACTCTTTGCTACTGTGCTTTTCGTGGTGTCTTATTTGTAAATGACCAATTTCCTTTATTCTACTTACACAAATGTCTACATGTAACATTTTCATAATGGAGTAAAAAGATTTTGCACCAATTCTATTTACTAAATGTGTACTTTCTTACAAAATGATGTAATTTACCGACAGTAAGCAATGTAAACATTACTAAATTATCAGAACAACATACAAATAGCATTTTCACTCACATGGAAAACTACTAATTTTTATTCAGTGTGAAATAAAGTAATTCCTGTGGATCAGTCTAGGAAACATCTATGCAAGTATATTTACATTATATGAAACTGCTACTACCTCAATGCAAAAATAAAATCAGTTCTCTATAAATTTCCCAGCTTGTTTTATTTTGCATGGTAAAAGCAATCACCGATTTGAAATTTGGGAAAGACATACTTCTTGATTATTCTTTGCTTGATATAAACATATATAAAATACAAGGTCTAGAACACAAAGCTTATAAAAACAGTAATTTTACTGGCAATAGGCATAATGGAACTGCAAAATTATAATCTAGTCAGTGAATGCAATTTATAGACATTCATCATTATCTTTATCAATTGAAATCATGTACTACATTAAATTCTACTAGCAATAACATAGCCAAAAAAGGAAAGTGAATGATGGCAAAAATGTAAAGAAAATACTCCGAACAGAATTTATAATGCTCTATAAGCAGAAAACACTTAGACTTTGTCTATAATAATACCTATTATTGATGTATGGCAGTGACCATGGGGCAAAACTTGTAAATAACCTCACAAGCCATTTTCTTAGCCAGCAATGCAGCAATCTAGTTTCCCGTAAGCATCTCAACTATTACTGAAAAATAGCCTCCTGGCATTTACAAAGCAGTTGACTTCATACTTTAGTCCATGCATATATAATTAGATAGTTATATTTAAAATCAATATGCAATCCTTCAAAAGACATTATGCTTTTAAAACCTTAACTTTAAATTGATTTTTAACTATTTTATATGCTTTAAAATTAACATGTAATTCCGCCCCAGATACTCTAAGATGGTGTTAGTTGTTACACAAATGTGCTAAACTTTATCACTGTAGCAACATGAGGTTGGCACGCCTACAATTTTTAATGCTATCATTAATTTTATACTGAAAATAGAAGTATGGTTTCACTTTGGTCCAATAAAAAGGCAAGCTTATGACAGTGCTGTGATTTTATTAATTTAAATACATTGGGGGAACTGACTTGAAGGATAAATATGTAAAGGGCTGTAACTTAGGTAGTGAATATTCTTACAAGAGGGCTCTGTGAAGAGATTATTTTTCAAAGGTTAACTTTATAAAAAAGAAAATGAGTGAGTTTCGTTACAAAAATTTTACAGACTCTAAGCCTTTGTGAAAACAAGGTGGGATAAACAGACACACACACACACACACACACACACACACACACACACAAACACTTGACTTCCAACAAAAAAGGCTTTCAGCAGAAAGCTTCCTGACTGGTAGCACTGAATCTCCACTGGTCACAGTGCTATCCACACTCACAAAACCTCTATTAGGAAGGCTGTTACAGCATTAAGAAATGCAAGACTCGTGGACTCAGGTGGAAGATAATTTTCATTAAAAAAATTACTAGTTATTGACCCTTTAAATAGTATTTTCCACCCAGGATTATCAAAATTCTTAGTATTGCCACAATGCTACTAAATGTATGGATGAAGAACATGCCCCTTCATGAAGTAGTGACTGTTGGCTCAAATCCCATTTCAAGAAGTAAGCATTAACTCTTTAGTAATCTCAATGTCTTTAATGAAGAATGACTGGACGTCTGTTTTCATAGCCTTAAGTTCAGTCCAGACGGAAAAATTAGCTTGGTTTCTCTAAAGTTGTTTATTATGGATGCAAATGGCAGATGGATAAATTAGCTTGGTTTCTCTAAAGTTGTTTATTAGGGATGCAAATGGTAGTGCAGACTGTAATCAGCATTTAAGCAACAAGAATCTACTGCCCTTTCAGATGTGATGGTCTGCGCGGCATTTTAATCACATCATCCTTGAACTCCAGGCTCAAAATTTATTCTAGGAAACTCAACTGAATTTGGCTCATTTTAAATAGAAATTTGTTCTATTTTTTTTAAATGTTCATTGGATTGGTGAGCCACACTCCCAGATAGTAAGTTACGTGCCCAATGACTCTGTACCTTTAAACTCTCTGAAACCCCAGCAGTTTGAGCTAAGCCTGTGCACATAACTGCCGAACCGACAGCTTCTCATGGCCCGTCTGATTTTCCTTAAGCTGGAGGAAAGGATGGTCTGCAGTGACCCTCCAGCTGACTGAATGTAAAGTAGAAGAGTATGAAATGTGTTTTGTGAAGAAGAACTTTATGTCAGGTTAAAGCTAGACACATCTCCTCCACTGAGTCTGAGCTCGTCAATTGCGCACCTAAAATTTTATGGGAAAGGATACTGTTTGATGCAGTCCACCAGTGGTCCATAACAGCAGTCGTTCACGATGCACTGGGGACAAAACAGAGAAGGGGTCTAGGGTGACTACAAAAACTGTTACCGTGAACTAGTATCCTAAAAGCTGTAATTACGTTTCTTAAAAAAAAAACAAACTATCAAAGGCTGTTAAGATTTAATCACAGAAAACAAAAATCACATGCTTTTTATTCACTATAAAAGCAAGCTATTAAAAAGTGAAATGCTCTTCTCGCAAATATTGCATTGCCATTTATGGTGCACCCTGACCTCAGTGATAGTTTACGATGACAGTAATTAAATGAGGTTTAAAATCCTTTACTCTGCTAGGCAGATAGCACTGCCACTGAAAATAGACAGCTGTGATTAATACCTGATAGACCTGATTTGCTAGAACTCCATCTGGAATCTGAGAAGGGTCCCGTAGCATACTATTTATAACAGACTTGGAGGCTGTAGAAGAAAAGAGATGAACTGTTAACAGTCAACATACTTTTAGTGCAGCATGAGGAGTGACATATACCTATATGTACACAAACCACGAAAATGAAAACATTACCGATTCTAATAATTTTTTCCTTTTTTAATCGAAGAGAAGCTTTTAATTAGACCATTTTGCCAAGTTTATAAGCCACACTGCCAGATTTGAAGATGACCTAATTTTTCCAAGGTAAATTAACAAGTACAGACCTAAAGCATATGTCTCTTTGCAGATATATTAGCTTTGGAAAAGCCCGCTTGGGGGAAAAAAACACAGCAAGAACCATCAGAAAAGAAATAGTTACCTTTTGTGGCTAAGTATTTTATTATTAAGCATATGTATCTGGAGAGCTTAGTGAAGGCAGGTCAGACTTCAATGATGTTGATAAAAATAACTTTTAGCCAAGAAAGAATCTCTGAATTCTAAACATTTCTGAAATAATTCTCATCAACTGCCATAAAATGCTGTGTCCATTTCACAGATAAGGAAAGTAGGTAAAGTTGATTAACCATTGAGGGAATCTTAAGTAAGAAAAAAATATATATTTATTTATATATGAATTTTTGTCCCAAAATACATCTCCTCATAGCCAATTGTAAATTAAACAGACCTCACCCCAGGAAAACCTACAGAAGAGGCTAGGGGAGGCATTTAATGAAGAATGCTATATCAGATCACACACCTAGCACACGGAGGCAAGAGATTCTGGCCCTGCTCTTTTCTGTAGGCGTGTGGAAGCCAAGGTGACCAGAACTCCTCTTCCTTTGCACGGGAGGAAGGCAAGTCTCTAAACTAAAGCTAAGTCTAGTGCTGCCTAGGAATCAATTCTTCCAATCCTCCAGTGGAATCATTCCCAAACATACAGCAAAATGGCTTAGGGTTTATCCACACAAACGCAAATTAAAGTGCATATTGGATAATTATCTAGTTAATAGAATGAACACAGACCAGGGATCAACATCATTCATGTTGAGATGACTTTTGGTTTTTTTGTTTTTAAGATTATTATGTTCTTTATCAAGTTCAGTACCATAAGATCAGTGACAGATATGATAAATGTTAGTAAATACCGTGCAAAGAAATAGGGAAATTACATCTTTTTCACTTAAGCATTGTACTGAGTCCACAAAGAAAAAATGCAGTACACTTATTTTAATTATTTCCTATTCTGCATGTGTATAGCCACATTTATGTACTTAGCCATTTGTAACTATGTGTTTGTTCTGCAAGTGTGGAACACATATCTGGAATCCCAAGAACATCATCACTAGAGGAATAGGAATACTATCCAGCCCTATGTCTACAACCAGCTCTGCAACCAGGGCAAATTTATGGAATATGGCACCTCTCAGATTCACTATTTTCTTCTGTAGAAAATGACAATATTATCTGAGCTGACTTCGTTAAAGGGTTTTTGTGTGAGTCTCTAGTAAATAGCTACAACGGCTATTTTGTTGTTGATTTTGTTAAAGTTTAAGTAATAGTAAGAACCAAACTATATGATAACTCACTGCAAATCATAGATCAAAGGGCCTTTTTTTTTTTTTAAAGATTTTATTTTATTTATTTGAGAGAGAGAGCACAGAGGGAGAGTGAGAGGGAGAAGCAGATTCCCCCCTGAGCAGAGAGCCGGATGCAATTGGGCTTGATCCCAGGACCCTGAGATCATGACCTGAGCCGAAGGCAGACGCTCAACTGACTGAGTCACCCAGGAGCCCCCCAGCCAAAGGCTCTTTTTAAAATAGACGAGAGACAATACTCTAGAACAGAAGAAGATGAAGTCACAAAGGAAATATTATAGAAAAAAGAAACCAATGACATCCTAATTTTCCTCACAATATAAATTTTTGAATACTGTGCTTATCAGAATTAAGAATCATAGCCCACACACTTTTTAAAAAATAGTCTGAACATATTGAATAGAACACTATTCAAATCAGAGAAAGCTTACAAGAACAAGTCAATCATTTTAAACTGAAAAGTAAAAACTATATATCGAGTCCACATTCATTTTAAACTCAACAAAATGTCTTTTTCTTTTATTGCAACCTGCCATTTTTTGGAGCAAGAAAATGATAATAAATAGGGTTTCGAGGCCTTGGCTACAGACCTAGGATGTGCCTGCCTTCTGTTTGAGGATTTTAGGACTTGGGCTTCAACAAGGTTATACCTGTGTCTCAGATCAAGCCAGAGCGCAAACTTAATTTTACACACATATTCTGAAGCTAAAAGTGCCAAAGGGATGAAAAGTATCAACCAGGTAAGGAAAGGCGGTTGGATAATCTTGGGATGACTAGGGATAAGAAGGGCTCAAGGAAGCCAGTACCTTTCATAAGCAAGATGTCCACGGCCAGCTACTACCTATGCCCAAGTTGTATCCATCTTTTTGACCATATGTGGACAGGAGACTTGTTCTCCCTAACCTTTGCTAGAGGCATTCATCCTCTTGATTTCAGAGTTTACCTCTGTCACTGCTTCAACTGCTGGAATGTCAGCTTTCTACCAAGCAGGTACAAAGCAGGAATGCACTAGTCATTTGGAGTTGTGTGCACAGGCATAGGGGAGAACTGGTCCCTGCTGAAGCATGCTACGCAAGAGAGGCAACAGGCAATGCCCGGACTAAGGCATAATGCCCAAGATTATGATCTGCTTTCTGTGAAATATTTCAAGAGCCTAAAATAATAAACATCCATGCCCCTGCCACTCTGACTTAATGTCTGTATCTTCAATTAAATTTACTTTAGATAGTCTAATATTAATTTGTGTAAACTGTTTTATTTATCAGTCTTTCTAGAGGTTGGTTCATTTTACTAGTATTTTGAAGGAACTAAATTTTGGTTTTGTTGATTTTCTCTACTGCTTCATTCCTTCCAATTTCATTTAATTCATCCTTTTGTCATCATTATTTCTGGATTTCTTCTTTGAATTTGTTGTATTATTCTTTTACAAACTTACTATCTTTATTACTTAAATTTTCAATCTTTTATTTCAACATATACTTTTTAAGGCTATAATTTTTCCTCTAAATTCTGCTTTAGCTACATGCTACAAGTGTTGTTCTCATTTATTTATAAATATTTTATAGTTTCCATTACGATTTCATCTTTGATCCATAAGTTATTTAAAAACTTATTTTAAATTTTTAATTTGATCATATTGGTCAAAGTATGTGATGCTTATATTAATTTGAGGGTATCTATTTGACTTCCATTGGTGTTTTCATATGCAATCAATTTTTTTTTTAAAGATTTTATTTATTTGACAGAGAGAGATACAGCGAGAGAGGGAACACAAGCAGGGGGAGTGGGAGAGGGAGAAGCAGGCTTCCCGCTGAGCAGGGAGCCCAATGTGGGGCTCGATCCCAGGACCCTGGGACCATGACCTGAGCCGAAGGCAGATGCTTAACGACTGAGCCACCCAGGCGCCCCTGATATGCAATCAATTTTTATAAATATTTTACATGTCTTAAAAAATACTAAAGCTCCTATTTTTGAGGTATGGGGTTCAGGTATGTCTAGTAGGCCAAGATTTTTAATTGTATTATTAAAATATTCTATATTCTTTGTTTTCTTAAGATTTATTTATTTGACAGAGAGAAAGAAAGTAAGAGAGAGAGAGAGAAAGAGAGGGAAGGTAGGGGCAGAGGGAGAGGGAAAATCTCAAGCAGATGCCCCACTGAGCATGGAGCCCAACATAGGGCTTGATCTCATGACCCTGAGATCATGACCTGAGCCGAAATCAAGAAGTTGGATGCCCAACCGACTGAGCCACCCAGGTGCCCCAAATCTTCTATATTTTTATTAATTTTTAATCAATTTTAACTGAACCCATATCTAATCTAATCATATTTTCTTTATAATTCTGAGCACAGCTGACCCTTAATAACATGGGGGTTAGGGGCACCAATCCCCTGGGTCGTCAACAATCCCACATATAACTTTTGACTTCCTAAAACGTAACTACTAACAGCCTGCTGTTGACAGGAAGCCTTACTGATAACATAAACAGTCGATTAACACATATTTTATATGCTATATGTATTATATACTATATTCTTACAATAAAGCTAAAGAAAAGGTTATTAAAGGAAGAGAAAATACTGCACTGTGTTAATATTTTTTTAATGCACTGTGTTTATAAAAATAGTATTGCACTGTATGTGTATGTAGAAGAAAAATCCACATATAAGTGGACCCATGCAGTTTAGACCCATGTTGTTCAAGGGCCAGCTATATAAGGAATTAAGAATTCACTCACTCCAATCGGGAAGCCCCCTCCTTCCCCATCAGCCTCCATGTTATTCTGTCTACTAATTTTTGCTCAACCACCCTGTTTGTAAACATAATTTCTTAGTTTCTGTGATGGTTAATTTTATGTCAACTTGACTGGGCCACAGGGTGCCCAGACTTTTGACCAAACATTATTCTGGATACGTCTCTGAGGGTGTTTCTGGATAAGATTCACATCTGAATTGGAGTAAAATAGACTGCCCTCACCAATGTGGATGGGTCTCATTCAGTCAGATGAAGGTCTGACTAGAACATAAAACACTGAGTAAAAGACTAGTTTCTCTGCCTGACTGCCTTCAATCTGGGACATCCTCTGGACTCAAACTAAAATATTGGCTCCTCCTGGATCTCAAAAGGATTGGACCTATATCACTGGCTCTCCTGGGTCTCCAGCTTGCCCACTGTAGCACTTGGGACTTTCAACCTCTATAATCGTGTGAGCCTATTCCTTATAATAAATCTCTCTCTCTCCATATACATATATACATACAAGCACACACAACTGGTTCTGTTCTCAAGTACTCTAATATAGTTTCTATTTTTTTAAATGTTCAATACTTATTTAGATTTACGAACATGTTTGCCAATTTTCTCCTTCAGTACTGCTTTCTGAATTCTGTTCTCCGCTTTTAGATTCATTATCCTTGTTATTAAAGCACCTATGTATTAGTTCTTTCAGATGG